TTCCTTCCTTCCTTCCTTCCTTCCTTCCTTCCTTCCTTCCTTCCTGTCTTCCTTCCTTCCTGTCTTCCTTCCTTCCTTCCTTCCTGTCTTGTTTCCTTCCTTCCTGTTTCCTTCCTTCCTTCCTTCCTGCCTTCCTTCCTTCCTTCCTTCCATCCATCCATCCATCCATCCTTCCTTCCATCCATCCATCCTTCCTTCTTCCTTCCCTCCCTCCCCCGCCTCTCTCTCTCGCCCTTCTTTTTTCTAAAAAAAATTGTATATACACAATTACCAAAATAATGTTTGCACTTTTAAAAAAAAGCTTTGGTTTTTTTTTAAAAAAAAAGAGGACAATCCCAGCTATTTAAACATACAAACTAAAAAGGGAAAGGAAAAATGTACTTAATATTTTAAAATTATCAATAGAACACTAGTACTATATGTTCAGTACAAAACAGTATTGCAAAATGTCACAAAATCTTTGCCATAGTAACATATAGGTTACAGAGAGGAGGGTTAGAGGAAAGAGACTGTTTTTCCAATCATGGATATGTGTTGAAGTCCTATTTGAGATTTTTTTTCTGTTTGCAAAATCTTTAGGATGGGTAGGTCTTCCCCTCAACTTATTCACACTTAACTGAAAGTAAGTCCCATTTCTTTCCCTCTTCGCATACCTTTTGCGTAGAAGCAGAAAAGGGCAGAGCCTGAGGGGGTTGAGTCAAGAGAGGACTCAGTTTAGAATCATTACACAAATGCTCCTAGCACACCACCACTGAATTCCATCAACTCATTTGTAGCACCAATTTAGTGCTGATAGTTGACTAGATTCTTTGGATAGGCTTGAGCAATAAATCTTCTGAACTGGGATTGAACCTAATTCTTGGCGCCTGACACCTTTGTGTTAATCTTCTCCCTTTTGTGTCCTGCAGCATTCCCTGATCACCTGGCCGACATAGGCATGGAAGGGCGGGGCTCTGAGAAGGGATCCATCCACGGCTCCCAGCCGGACTTGCGACGCATTTCGGAACTGTCTGTGCCCGTCGACTTCCTCCCTCCATCGAATGACACCAAACCCAAACTTATGACTCCAGACGCGTTCATGACTCCCAGCACTTCTCTGCAGCAGGTATCTCCTTCAGAATAGAAGAGGCACCTGGCCTTCTTCTCCTTGACTGGACGTGAGACCAGTTGTCCTTGCTCTCTTCATTCGTGCAAAACACAGAAGCAAATCAGAGATTATATTCAGGTTTCAATCAATCATTTCCCAGTTGCTAACACAGTGGTGTCAAACTGGATTTCATTGAGGGCTGCATCAGGGTCGTGTTTGACATGGGGGGGGGCTGGTGTGGGCGTGGCCAATTCGACGTCACTCGTGTCGGGGGCGCCTATGGTGGCCCGATTTCTCTGCCAGCAAAAATGGGCTCCCGAACTCCGTTTCCGGCTGCGATGGTCTCCTGCAGTGCTCTGCCAGTGACAACAGAGCCGGGGAGGCTCACATGTAGCCCTCCTGAGCTCCGTTTTTGCTGGCAGAGGCACCGTGGACCGCTCCTTCACTGTTTCCAGGGCGGCCCCACGGGCCAGATCTAAGTCCGGGCCTTGAGTTTGACACCCCTACGCTAACAGTTCAAAGAAAAGTGTCAGCTTTGGAAGCCGTACTGAGACCAGATGCTTCCATGCTGCCACATTTTGAGCCTGAGAAAATGGGAGGGGGGAATTTCTTGGAGTGTATACGGTTAGACATAATAACATTCTTTTTTCTAAGTCAAGGTCATGTTCTGCGCATAAGTGAGGGAAAGTCTCAAGTTGGGATGGATGGCGATTGGGGCATGTGATGCGATGATGGGTGCAGGGGGTGGATTTGTAGGCTTTCATTATTGCAAGGGAGCCCTGGACTTTCAGATTTGGGATTCCCCAGATGTGTCAGTTTATTATCCAATTAAAACAGAACTTTTGAGAAGATGTCTGTCTTGGAGTTCATTGTTGGAGTGGAGGTTTTCTGGACCGCTGACAAAAAGATGCTGTTGAGGCATGGAAGGGCTCTGTTGGGCGAAAGGAATGGCACTCTTATTAAGAAGCTTTTTTGAAGAGTGAATTAACCGCTGCTTGAGGCAGAAAATTCTAGTTTGTTTCAAATCCTATGCATTGTCCCTTTTAAATTTTCAAAGCCAGCATTCATTCTAAGATTCTTAGTTTAGATTGGAGATTGTGAATCCCTGGGAAGTCAAAAAAAAGGCAAACATAAAGCGAAGTAGCACTTCAGCTGACTTTCATCAGCACCCAAAATCTACGCCCCCTAAGTACAATCCAAAGATCTAGTTCTGTGTGATCGGTTCCCTCCCTGTTGCATCCAAATAACACACTCTCTCATCTGCACCAGATCACGGGGTCTCCCGGAAGTAGCATTAGTTCCCTCACTGCTGTGACGACCATGAGTAGTACTTCGGTTGGCGAGCCCCCCCTTCCCAGGTAAGTCTCAATCGTGGGTGGAAATACAGCTATGGTTTCAATTAAGGAAGAGGATTGAGCCCAGCTCAGCAGCGGGTGGCCTTCATAGGACTCTGGGTGCATTGTATTGTGTTTCTTATTTATTCCCTTTTTTTCATTGGGAGTTGGCCAAACTCAGTATCAAGAAAGACTTCTAGCTATACAATTTGGAATGAACACCCTTTGAATGGTGTTGAGAGTAGGAATGGATTTCCAGAGGAGGGAAAAATTGCATCAGCACTACTCAAGTGACCAAGTGCTTCAACGACCCTCCAAAAGGATGCAAATGACCAGCTGTCTGCAAGGGATATAAATCCTTCCATTCCCCACCATCCATCCACCATCAGTGAAACAACAACTAATGACCTCCTTTTACCGATCCACAGTAGAAAGTGTCCTCACATATTGCATTATGGTGTGGTAGGCTGGCTTGACAGCCGTGGATAGAAAGACATTACAGAGGGTGGTGAGCACAGCACAAAACATTGTGGGCTGTTTCCCTGATACCACTAGATGACCTTGCTAAGGCTCTCTATCTTAAAAGAGTGAGGAGAATTCTCAGGGACGACTCACATCTCGGTCAGCACTTCTTCACTCTCCTACCATCGTGTTGGACAGTGGTGGCTAACCTTTTTGGGCTCCTGTGCCAAAAATTGTGCCGCGCTTACATGCTCACGCTCACGTGCCAGCACCCAGAAGGTAATGCGCAGGCCCCCTATGCATGCGCGTGCAACCCCCCCACTCCCTGCCGCCCCCTTACCTGCGCTGCACCTCACAGCTGATTTTCGGCCGGTTTGAGGCCTTTTCTGGCCTCCCAAAGGCTTGAGGAAGGCTTCTGCAGGCTTCTGCAAGATTTGTAGGCTGAAAACTACCACCGTTTCATCACTTCCTGTTTTTCTGAAAATACCGGAAGTGATGAAACGGGGCTAGTTTTCGGTCTACAAAGCTTGCAGAAGCCTGCAGAAGCCTTCCTCAAGCTTTTGGGAGCTGAAAAAGACCTCAGACTGGCCGAAAATCAGCTGTGAGGAGCGCACATGTGCAGTGAGGTAAGTTTGCAGCTTGCGTGCTGGCACAAATGGTTCTGCGTGCCACCTGTGGCACGTGTGCCATAGGTTCACCATCAGGTGTAGGAGATAGAGAAGCATAGCCAGCCATACCAACGGGCTGAAGAACCGTTTCTACCCGTGGGCTGTCAGACTCCTGAATGGAAAATAACTTCACGTCAACATAGTATGACAGACTTGCGGGGCCGGCACATTGTGCAACAAGGTCACATAGTGTAATAAGATTGGGACTGGGTTAGGGACTTCTGTCCTCACTGTGAGTTGTGTTGGGGGAGGGGTGTACGAAGGGAGGCTCAGCCAATCTCATTGTACACATGTTGTACTCTGACAATAAAGGTAATAATAAGATCCAGTCAGAGCTGAAGAAGCTTCTTGGAGGAGAAGCGAAACGTCTTCAAAAGAAAAACAAGGAAGGAAGTCCAGTTGCCTCCTGAAAAAGCACCTTTGTCGACATTTCCGGTTTGTCGGCTTCGCGAGCGGCAGGGATTTGCGAAGCTGCGCGATCCCTGCCGCGCTAGCCGTTTTTGGGGCTCCGACCCACACGGGTACGGAGCTAGGCTGCCCTGCAGGGGCAGCTGAAGGTAGGGGGGATCCGGAGAAGGGACTGGGGGTGTTGCAGACCCCCTCCCTGGCCGGCAGAACCCCCTTTTCCCAGGACGGTGCAGCGGCGGTCCGTAATGGCCGCCACAAAGAAGCTGGCAGCCGGGTAAGAATGCGCAGGAGGAAGTGGAGAAAGTGATTGAGAGGAGAAAGTTTTTCTTGGCTCCTAGGACTCTAAGACATATTTAATAAAATTCCTGAAAAGTATGACTTTCTGAATAATACCTGCCAGAAGAGGAAAAAAGCGGCTGTTTGAAGGTGCTGAAAGGATAGCTTTCCCTCTTTTCCTACGGAATAAATAACTGGATATTAAGAAACCTATTTTTTTAGGTGGAAATTGGTTTTAAGCGATGAGTGGGAAGAGAGAGGATTAAAAAGAAAATATTTGTATGCTAAGATTTGTTGGAGCAGATGCCTTAAGGATTTGAAGACTAGAATATATTGTAACAAGACTTTAAACAGATTTGGACTTTCTTTCTCTTTGATTGATATCACCCCAGAAGGAGAAAGTGAGAACTCTGCCTTGGTTTGGACTGATTGATAACTTTGGGACTGTTTTATCTTTTTTATTTTCTTTTGAATATTCTGGTTGTTGTAAGAAGAAAGAAGGAGAAAAGAAAAGAAAAGATTTATAATGGCTCTTTCTGTTGAGGAACTAAGAAATGGTGTGGAAGAAGCTTTCCTTTTCTTAGAAATGGCGCTTACTAATTATCAACAAAAATTACAACAGATGAAGACAGCAGAGGAACAAGAAAGAAAGGAAGGAGCCATCTTTAATGAATCTCAGAATTTGATCCAGAAAGAAGGAAGAGAGAAAGAAAAGAAAAGAAGAGAAAAGAAGAAAACTAAAGGATTTAAGGACTTAAGATCTAAAAAAACATTTAAGAAAGGGAAAAATAAAGTGCAAAACCAATATGATGATAGTAAACAAAGGGGAAAAGGAATACGACAGAGAAGGGAAGCCGGTAAGGCAGAGGCTAGAAGAAGGGGGGGTAGAAAGGTTTGTTGGGAGAAGAAAGAAAGGGAAAAGGTGGAGAAAAGCTACAATGTTTTGAAATTAAATGGAAAAAAGGAATTTTTTATGGATAATGGATAAAGTATAATTTTTTTTAAAAAAAAAAGATTTTGCAAGGTACATAAGATGAGATGGTAGTATTACAATGGTTTAAGAGTTGATAAGAGATTAAAATGTTAAAATGTTTAAAAATGATTGGCTTTAAAACTTAATAATAGGAGAGGTTTAGAATATTGTTTTAATTAAAGAGTTTAATAAAATTATGGTATTGATGTTATTATAAAATTTTTATTATAGTATTTTTTTTTAATATTTGGATTTATTGTCTAATTATGCACTTAATTGTGTTGGATGTATTAGTTAGATAGAATGTACCACGCAAAATCTGATTGGGTGTTAGATATTATTTTAAAGATTAATTTGATTAACTTAGGGGGGAGATAGAAAGGCATCATACTCTGATTAATGATTTCAGGAGAAACTGATTTTCTTTTTTTTCATAAGGAATGAGACAAAGGGATGATAAAAAATGGACAAAAGATACAAATATAATGATTCAAACTAAGATGATTAATTAAGGTAGAATTAAGAAGTGTGAAATATGTGGAGAAGTTAATATAGAAGGCTTAGAATGGTAAATAAAATAAGTAATGATATGTAAGATGAGCATGAATATAATTGAAGTCCATGAAGAGAGAGACACCTGGGTCCAAGTTACTTTCCAAAAAGATTTTTTTTATGTTTTGTGTGTTGTGTGTATATGTCTTTTTTGGGGGGAGAATTAGTAAAAACTTGTAGAAATATAGAATGAGAATAATGGTAACTAAGTCAGAAAGAAACAGATGAAATAATAATAATGATATTGAATAAGAGTAAAGAGAAGTAAAGAGAAATTGAATAAGAGGTTTTGGTATGTTATATGGAAATGGTTTAAAACAGAATCATAATTTATCTGACTTGTTAAATTTACAATGGAAAAAGGTTTAAACATGTAATGAATAATGATAATTTGTGTGTTTTAAAAATTAATAAAACTTGTTTTTTTTTTTTTAAAAAAAAGCACCTTTGTCAAGAAAGTAAAATGCCCAGACAAATGTAACCGTCAGATATAGTTAGTCCTTGACTTACAACCACTCATTTAGTGACTGTTCAAAGTTGCAACGGAAAAAGTAACAGGCGGCTGGTTTTCACAGTTGCGGCCATTGCAACATCCTTACAGTCAGGTGACCAAAATTTGGACACTTGGCAACTGTCATGTATTTATGACAGTCATTAAGGGGGTGTCTGGTTCACTTAATGACCATGTGAGCCATTTAAAAACGGCAGGGATTCACTTAACAACCCTGGCAAAAAAGGGTCGTAAAAGAGTGCAAATTCGCTTAACTGCCTTGTAGCAACAGAAATTTGGGGCTTCGTTGTGGTTGTAAGTTCAGGGCTACCTGTATTACCTTTGCCTGCGTTTTGGCGAGGCTCGGCCTGCTATCAAATGCCAGAGTTGGCCTTTTCCTTGGGCAGAGCTTGGGGTTTCTAGGTTGCTTCTGATGGGAGGAGATGGAAGGATCTGTTGACTCTGGTCTTCCTCTTTCTTTCTGCCCCCGCCAGGCCATCGGAGGACATGTCCCTAAGCCCAAAGATGCAGCTTGATGCCAACCTCACCCTGAGTGGCAGCAGTGGGTGTCTCCAGGCAAGCCCGCGGAATCATTCGGTCCTGCTCCCTGGCCTTCCTGACAAACTGACCCCAAAGGTCCCCATTCCGGTAAGGTAGATTCTTCTGGAGACCATTGCGATTCTTCTCGACTTCCCCCTATACCAAGGGACTTCAAGCTTGGCGAGTTTAAGATTTGTGGACTTCAACTCCCAGAATACCTGAGCTAACATGACTGGAGGAGGAATTCTGGGAGTTGAAGTCCGCAAGTCTTAAAGCTGTCAAGTTGGAAGACCCTTGCCCTACACCTTCCTTGCAACATCCATGCCTTTACTTGTCCAAGCTGTCTGCCCTGCTGATTTCCAATAACCCTTTCTCACTCGGGGGTGTCAAACTCAAGGCCTGGAGGCCAGATCCAGCCCAGGGGATGCTCAGAGGTTGTTCTGACCAAGGCTTATTGAGACGCTAACAAACACACCTTAGTCCCCAAACCCTTTTTTCTTTATTTCAACAACTCTGAATTTTAGTCATTCACAGCCCGTAATGAGTCTCCAACAGTTTGTAAATAGTCCCATGGAAGTCTGCCAAAGTCCTTCAGGATAAGTCTGATAAGCACCCACCTTTATCTTCCTTGAAATGCTGCCAACGACTAAATTTCCAATTAGTTATACAAGACCAAAACGGAACACAAATTCAACACCGAGCTTCAGGTTTCAAACCGACGAGTCCAAACAAAGTTGCTTCCTGCAAAGATTCCTGTCCCTTTGCTCCTCCTTTATGTCTTATGGGAGGGCCAATCACCTCCAAGCCTTACTCCCGAGTCGCCCCTGGTATAAGGTATGCTACAAGAGGATCAACTTCTTTCGTTTTTCCTCTCAAGGTTTCCCCAGGGAACCCTCCTCCTTTGGCCCTGGAGCAAGAGGAAGTGGAGCCTCTGGTGGTACCCCAGTCCTCGCCCACTCGTGAGCGCTCCCCAGATGTCATCTCCTCCGCCTCGACTGCCATGTCCCAGGACATCCCTGAAATCGCCTCAGAGACCCTGCAGCGCAGCTTCAGCGCAGCCCCGTCTGGCCTCCCGGTAGAAATTCTGGACTCCAACCATCACACAGACAGCATGGCTTCGGCGGCCTCCGCTCTCCACTTGCTTTCCCCACGCAACCGCCACAGCTCGGAGCCCAGCCATCACTCCTTGGACATGGCCCCCAACGAGGTGGACATGCTGACCGCCCCCTCACTGCTGGAGGCGGCCTTACCTCAGGAAAACGTGGCGTTGGATAGTGGAGTGAGTCAGCCGTGGCCGGCTGCTCCTGACATCACCAGGGAGACCAGGAACAGCATGGCGGACAGGTAAGGACAGTTTCCATCACTCTTCCCTGGGGCCCAGGGTGGACCATCCCTTAGTGCAGGGGTCCTCCAACCTGGGCAACTTTATGATTTGTGGAGCTGGCTGAGGAATTCTGGGAATTGAAGTCCAGAAGCTTTAAATTTGTCCAAGTTGGAGACTCCTGCCTTAGTTGGTTCTTGTGGTCACTGCAAAATTAAAAAAAGAGTGCAGGAATATCCAGTCGTCTTCTCTGTGGAAGAACACGGGAATCTACCTTAGAAAAATCAAAAGGATGATTAAACTTTAAGAACAGATGCTTCAGGTTCTCTTTTCCTCCTTCCCATCATCCTTCGTGGTTATGCTGTGTCCTGAAAACAGGTGTCAGCTTTGGAAGCCATACTGAGATCAGATGCTCCCACGCTGCCACATTTTGAGCCTGGAAAAATGGGAGGGGGGAATTTCTTGGAGTGTATGTAGTTAGACATAACAACATTCTTTTTTCTAAGTCAAGGTCATGTTATTCTGCGCATAAGTGAGGGGAAATCTCAAGTTGGGACGGATGGTGATTGGGGCATGTGATGTGATGATGGATTTGTAGTTTTTATTTATTGCAAGGAAGCCAGGAACTTTCAGATTTGGGATTTCCCCAGTTTGTGCCAGTTTACGATCCAATTAAAACAGAACTTTTGAGAGGATGTCTGCCTCGGCGTGATTGGTTGGAGTGGAGGTTTTCTGGAACGCTGAGACAGCAGGACTTTGTGGGTTGAATTGTGATGCAGGAATTGGCCAGGCTGAGGCTGAGCAAGGAGTCAAATGCATCATCAGTTTGGAGTCATTGTCCTCCTACAAGAGACCCAAGCCCAGATCCACCCCCACCCCCAATTTGGCGCTTGTGCATAGGTTGCTTGGAATAAACTCTCTTTGCAGCCATCATTAAACGAATCATGATGTTCATTAAGTGAATCCGTGGTTAAGCAAACCTGGAAGTAAATGCCAGTTTTTGGCAAAAACATCGTCAATCATAGCAACAGAACGCTGCAAACGGCAATAAACTGAATGCCGAGTGCCCAAAATACAGTCACATGACCCTGGTAGGGACGGCCATCATAACTTCAGAACCAGGTGATAAATACCTTTTGGTTGTAACTTGGGCTTCCTATATTATGACCTCCCGTCCAGCGCTATTTTTCCTCATCCTCCCAGCTCTTTAAACAGCCCCATTGTCCAAGATATGCTACTAAATTCTGTCCCAAAGGTGCTTTTTCAGGAGGCAACTGGACTTTCTTGTTTTTTCTTTTGAAGATATTTCACTTTTGATCCAAAAAGCTTCTTCAGCTCTGACTGGATGGTGGGGAATGGAAGGATTTATATTATCCACTATCTTGTCAGAGCTGAAGAAGCTTCTTTGGATGAGAAGCAAAACGTCTTCAAAAGAAAAGAAAAAACAAAGGAAGTCCAGTTGCCTCCTTGAAAAAGCGACCTGGATGACGGAGAACCTCTACAGACTTTTACTAAAGCCTGTGTTTGGGATGAGTCTGAAATAAAATTAGAATGCTGTAGAGCAGTGGTGGCTAACCTTTTTGGGTTCCTGTGCCAAAAATTGTGTACGCACTTTCATGCTCGCACTCACGTGCCAGCATGCAGAAGGCAATGTGCAACCCCCCCACGTCCCCTACGCATGCGCGTGCAACCCCCCCCCCCCCCCACCGCTGCCCCCTTACCTGCCATGCGCCTCACAGCGGATTTTCAGCCGGCGTGAGGCCTTTTTCGGCCTCCCAAAGGCTTCAGGAAAGCTTCTGCAGGCTTCTGCAAGCTTTGCAGGCCAAAAACTAGCCCCATTTCACCATTTCCGGTTTTTCTGAAAATACCGGAAGTGACAAAACGGGGCTAGTTTTCAGCCTACAAAGCTTGCAGAAGCCTTCCTCAAGCCTTTGGAAGGCCGAAAAGGGCCTCAAACCGGCCTAAAATCAGCTGTGAGGCCCATGCATGCGCAGTGAGGTAAGTTTGCCTGCAGGTCGCGTGTCAGCACAAATGGCTCTGCGTGCCACCTGTGGCACGCGTGCCATAGATTCGCCATCATGGCTGTAGAGCATTTTCAGCTAGAAAGGAAAACTCCACTAGTTTCTATGTGCTTGAGTGCTTCAACCTTTGGTGCAGGAATGGATAAGACAGAAAACGTATTTGGGTTTGATGCAACTCACGCCCCCTGTTTCATTGTCCCATGCAGCCCCAGGAATGAAGTGGAAGAGAAGCATAAGAGCTCTTGTCACAGGCACACCTACCGCTTGCTGCAACATGACAGCCAAGATGCCAGCGCCGAGCAGAGGTATGGGCTGCGTGACGTCCTCTGTCCCTCCCTCGAAGCTTCTAGCCCAGCAAGGCAAACGAATTTGGGGAAAGTGCTGCCTGGTCTTAAATCCCAGAAGTAGGGAACATGGTCGTCGAAACTCAGATCATTTTCTTCCCCCGGCATCTTAAGAAAAAGAGACTGGGCTTTGATTCTCAGGGGAATGAACTTTTTAAAGGTTCTTCCAATAAGCAAATGACTTCTGATCCGGAGAGGAAGAGTTAAGCACATTAGGCGATGTTTGATCGGAATAACTCATTCAGTTAGGAATTGAAATCCAACTTAGAAAATGGATCTGTTTCTCTTCGATGTCCCTGTCCAACCATTGGTTGGATTTGACATCTGGAAATCTTGATTTCGGAGATCGGACCAGATCAAATCTCCAAATGATATGTTCACGGGCTCCCATCCGAGACCGCCAACGAATGCAATCTGATAACGCTTAGAGAAAGATGGACCGTTTGAATCTCAGCACTAGCCTTCTTCTTCTTCTTGGCAGTTGCATGTCAGAGTCAGGCTTGTCAGTAGAAACTGGGATTGCTGGCTAATATAAGGTGGCTCTGGGATTTGGATGGAGAAGATCTGAATCCGTTCCTATTCAAATCAATTAAATGGTCAATATTAGGAAACCAAACATGAAATGCATTTAAGACTTCTTCGATGTCGTGCTCTCTTGGTGAAGAACGGGGTTCCTATTAAGGAAAACTGATCCATCAGCTGCTTCTTTGGATGGCAAAAATAATAGCCTAAATTCACCATTTGATGAAGACCACCTTGTTCCACTGCTGAGCTAAAGTCGATCTGAGACTCCTGTTATGAGATCCTTTGCCAAACTGACAAACTGCCTTCCTGTTCTCTTCTCCTCTGCAGCGATCACGATGATGAAGTTGCGGGCTTGGCTACCACATCAGGCGGGTTCACAACCAAAGTGACTGCCCAGCGGCTGCCAGTGAAAGACTGGAAGGCCAAAGTTTCTCCTCGGGCCTCCCCAAAGCTGAAGAGGAAGGGGAAGAAAGACGACAGGTTGGTGTATCTGTTCAGTAGTTGGAAACAGCAGCGTTCCATTTGGCAACCAATCAGAGAGAAAGGCCGAGAGAGAGACATAGATAGGTGGTGGTTGATAGACAGATAGATATGGTAAGCATAGATAGATAGATAGATAGATAGATAGATAGATAGATAGATAGATAGATAGATAGATAGATAGATAGATAGATAGATAGATAGAGACAGAAAGACAGAAAGACAGACACAGATAGATCCAGACCAGACCGACCATTTCCATAAGCTTTTAGTCTCACATATCTATAGAAATTCTCAGTCATCCAGGTCAGGGTTGTCCCAAAGATGCGTTTTAAAGAGGCAGGTGGACTTTTCTGTTTTTACTTTGAAGACATTTTGCTTCTCATCCAAGAACAACTTCAGCTCTGACTGGATGGTTGGGGAATGGGAGTTTTTATACTCCTTGCAGACAGCTGGTCATTTGCCTCCTTTTAGAGGGTCATTGAGGGCACTTGGAGGTCTCTCTCTGTCCTCAGGGTCATCTAAGTGGTGCAAATGGGTGTGGAGCCTTCTTGGAACGGCTGAAAGGACTGCGCTGTGCTTTCGGACGGATGTTTTCTGCCCTGGCACTGGCTGTTGGGGATGCGTCTCACAATTGTAAGATCGATACCCTCTTTCACCAGGGGGGTCACCATACACTGCCTTGCTTACAGAGCGCCCAATAGCCAAAAGGTGGCATTGTCAACCAAGAAAGTCTCCTGTCGGAATTCTACTTCTCCCATGAGCTTAGAACCGTGCTGGCGAATGTATGGTACATGTGCCAGAAGTGGCACACAGCCATTACTGCCAGCATATGAGCCCTCATAGAAAAGGTCTACTGCGCATACATGCATGCCCCCCCCCCCCACCAGCTGCTTGTTGGGTATCTGGCGCGCATGCACGGCAATGCACAGGAGACACACATGCGCAAAAGCAGCAGTGCGCATTGCACGTGCATGCACAGAAGCACGCAGCGCAGGTCACGTGCACATGCGCAGGAGGCATGGGGAGGGCGCGCGCATTGCCTTCTGGGTGATGGCATACGAGCATGAGCAGACAAGCGCATGCGCAATTATCGGCACGCGAGCCCAAAAAGTGAGCCACCACTCGCTTAGAACATTAAAACAGAATTTTCCCCTGTAGTTACTGATTGGAGTATGACACCTTTATATCTTTTAATTTTTGTCCATTCAACTCTTATTTAAACTTCAATTTATGCTTTTACAATTGCAACATTCAATATAACACACAACTTCCAGTCGAATTCTGCTTGGTACATTCTTAAAATACACACTAAGTTCTTAAAGAGAAAATATATATATAACAATAATAAATAAAATACTTATTCTATTTCAATTCAGCTCTATCATTAATGTTAGTTATAGTTTTTAACATCTTTAACATTTCTTTTCAATGGGATATCATACTTCCTTAGGAACACTTATAATATTTCCATTTTTTTTCATATTTCTTTCATATGAGAAAAGAAAATATGAAATTGAAACAGGGCAGACAAAAGTATAAATACAACAATTAGAAAGATATTGAAACTTAGAAAAAGATATATATAATTGGATTTAGACAGGAATGAGATAATTAAAAGCAAGGTTGAGAAAACTAAGGGAAGGGAAAAATTATTGAGAAAATGTTAAAATAGTAATAAGATATGGAATAGAACACAAAGATGAATATGAAATTGAGTTTGTGTCTGTATGGAGAAGTGATAACCTGGGACCATGCTATTCTCAAAAAAAGATATTTTATTTGTATTATGTTTTGTGAAAACCTAAATAATTTTTTTACAAAAAAAAAGAACATTAAAGCAGGGATGACACATATTGTATACTAGGAAACCTTCAGGTGCTAGCTAGCTTCTTATCTATTTGTCTAACCATCTATCAGTCTCAAATGCAATATTCAATTCCACCATTATAGCTCAACCTATTTTAAACCATCACTCTCTTATGTGAAGAGTTGTGCTGCCATACCTCCAGGGAGGCGCCAAATTGGAAGGATCTTTGTTAAGCTAGGAATTTGTGCTTCCCTTTATTGTTGTTGTTGTCCTGGTGTTGAGAAAACAGGTCCTTGACTCGGTTACTGGGGTGAGAAATTATCAGAAGAGGGTTGTTTTCAATTGGGGGAAGAGCCATCTAAATTGAAGTTGTAATTATCCTCCCTTCCAGCGCATCATTTAACAGCTTTTCTTCGGTTGTAGGGATGTGCCACAGTCCCCAAGGTCCTTCGATCAGCAGGTTGGTGCAAACTTTCTATTTATTTTGCAGTTTCTCTCCCCCGTAAGAAGTGCCTTTCTGTTCCTTCCCCCTCCTCCAAAATTGCACAGGTTTGGAATTGTGGGATGAAGTTTAAGTTCTGCAATAATGTCCCTTGTTTAAGGCTCTGTCTCTAGATATTTTATTGATCATTCGTATCCATGATTATGCTTGTCTTAAAGAATTTACAACTTGATAGAGTTACCTTAAGAGCCATGGCGGCACAGTGGTTAGAGTCCAAGACCGCAGGCTACTTCTGCTGACTCCCAGCTGCCAGCAGTTTGGCAATTTGAGTCTCACCAGTTTAAGATTGACTCGGCCTTCCATTCTTCCAAGGTTGATAAAATGAAGAGCCAGATTGCTGGGGGCAAAATGTTGTCTCTGTAAACCGCTTTAGAGAGGGCTGTAAAGCACTGTGTGAAGCATGATATAAGTCTAAGTGCTGTTCCTATTGCTTAAGAGTTGATCTGTTCCACCTGATCGCTTCTTCCTATCAAAGGAAAATAAGTCTGTTGGCATAATTGCCTCCCAATCCAGCCTACGTTAAGTCTAGCCATGCTGATGTATTTAAAAGTGGTGCAATCAATTTTGAAATCTGTATCAAGGAGGCCAATTAGAACATGGACATTCCCTGTAGTTCTTCTGAACTTCAGGCCACAGACCTTAATTGAAATAAATCATCCTCATTTAATGGCCCCCATAATCCCTTGCGGGCTGGAGTCTGGGCAACTGAACGGAACCAGAGAGTGTTTTAGTCAGTGGTGGGATTCATTATTTTTTTTTACTACCGGTTCTGTGGGGTGTGGCTTGGTGGGCGTGGCAGGGGAAGAATACTGCAAAATCTCCAGTCAGAGGTGGGGTTTGCCGGTTCTCCAAACTACTCCAAATTTTTCGCTACCGGTTCTCCAGAACTGGTCAGAACCTGCTGAATACCCACCTCTGGTTTTAGTGGCCGGATGCCCTTCCTATCGCCAATGTGGAGTTTTGTTTAGCGGAGGTATTCTCAGGGTGCCCAGAGAGGGAAATACCTGCCTCTACCTAGGATCGAACTTCAAAGCCTTCTGATTGTGAGGGAGGAGCTCCACCCTCTAGGCCACCACACCCCTCCCCCTTAATTGAAATAAACGCTTCTTCCCCAATGTTTCTTCCTTGGCGTCATTTATGAATATGTTTTGGGGGCCTTTCTCCCAAACGACTGTCCACCATGGGTGAGCCCAGTTCATTCCCTACGAGAGGGACAAAGTCAGTTGGGTTTCCTCCGAACAAAACAGGAAGATTCCACTGAAAATCACCGCAGGCTGATGTTTTGCCGTCTTTTCTCTTTCCCCCCCACCCCACTTCTAGAGCGCTCCTGAATACCAGGAGGAGCTGATGTCTCTGCTCAGGACCCAGCAAAGGGAGATTGCCGAACTGAGACAAAATCAGATGGAGCTGATGCAGAGGCTCGCAGATCACCTGGATGGGGTCCAGAGCTCGCTCATGGGTCACATCGAGCGGGTGATCGACTCCCAGCAGGAGCAGGAGCGTATCCTCTCAGAGCGGGTCCCGTTCCACACCGTGGGTTTGGGGATCACGTTAGTGGCCTTGCGTTCTTGTGGAGTTTCATGTTTCTACACACACACACACACACACACACACACACACACGTACGTACTTGGCTGGAAGGAAGAGGAGGATGTCCTGTTTGCTTGACATAGTTAGTGGTTGTTTTTTTCTACTTGCTGTATTTATACCTCAGAACCAGATACTAAAGGGATTACAGGGTCGTAAAAAGAAAAGTGCATTCTCTTAAGCAGCTTGACAAATTTGAGAAAGCAGAAAAGGTTAAAACGTCTATCTGAAATGAATTTCACTGCACCTATTTTTTTTAATTCTAATAATATAATATAATAATATAATAATAATAATAATATAATATAATATAATATAATTAATATAATTAATATAATATATAATATATAATTAATATAATATATAATAATATTATAATATAATATAATATAATAACATAATATAATATAATTAATATAATAATAATATAATATAATAATAATAATATAATATAATAATATAATATAATATAATTAATATAATATAATATAATATGAAAAAGAGAAACAATATGAAGAATGTCCTCTTTAGCTAAGTCCGGTTAACAAGGAAGTTTGTATCATTTCTTTTTAGGAAGTTGTCTCCTGTCACATCCAACAACTGGTCCCTCAGCCAGTTCTTTATTCTGAGCAATATCATCTCAGGTTTCAGGTTTTTTTTCCCCCACTATCTGCTGCTCAGGCTTTTTAACTTGGCAATATCAGTGGTTTGTAGTCAGTGTGGGAGTTAAAGTCACAGCCAAAGTTTGCCAGCGAAGAAATGCTATCTTCAAGGCCGAGGAACAAAAGATGAAAAGTCTTTTAAGTTAATAAAAATGTGAGAGGATGAGAGAAAGAATTTGTTATTGTTATTTTTCATCCCATAACGAAGCTCTCCTAGTTCTCACTGCAAAGCTTATCAGCACATATTTCAGCAAGAGGTTTTGTTTATCAACCTGTTGGTTGCAGTTATTTATTTAAAGCTGAGAGGGAGTGACTGGGCCAACATTTCCCAGCTGGGCCTAAAAGAATTCTAGAATTTGGACCCTCAATTCCTAGTTCAGCACTTTAACTACTGTATCATGGTGGCTCTGAAAAGAAAGAAGAGTCAGAATAGGGAATTGCACCTTCACAGGCAAACAACTGCTTAGTGGTTTCTTCCTAGTATATTGTAAAAAGAATATTAGCTAGCCATATCAGTCTTGTCAAGCCATTTTTTTTCCTGCAGTTTTCTTGGCAAGGTTTTTCAAAAGTGGCTTGCTTCCTAGGGCTGAGAGAAAATGGCTGGTTCAGGATCACCCAGGTGGCATTATGCCTAAGGGGGGGGACTAGAACTTACCCCATCCTGGCTTCCAGCCTGATGTCTTGATTGTTATATCAAACTGGCTCTCAAGTCAAACCTTACTAAGTTGTGTATCTGGAGTCTTGCTATTGAGTCTGATCCGAGTCGTGGTGACAACAGTGGTTAGAATGTAGTATTGCAGGCTAATTTGATCCAGTTCGATCCTAACCGGATCAAGGATGACTTGGTCTTCCATCCTTCCAAGATGGGTAAAAGGAGGACCCAGATTGTTGGGGGGGCATATGCTAACATTGTAAACCGCTTAGCGAGGGCTGCAAAGCATTAAGAAGCAGTATATAAGTCTTTAAGTGCTATTACTGTTGCAGTCTTTGGGATCTCTAGTCCGTGCACCCTTTCTGTGTTCCTTAACTCTTTGTTTCAGAGCGGAGGCTGGAACAGGCTCTGGCGGAAGGGCAGCAGCGCAGTGGGCAGCTGCAAGAGCACCTCTCCCAGCAGCTCTCCCAGTCCCTCTCTACGGCTGCCTGCAATCGGCTGGAGAGGACCATCCGCGAGGAGATGAAAAAGACTGTTCCCCCGTGTAAGTTTTGCCCAGCGGGTGATGAATTGCTTGCAAAGC